GCATAATTTTGTTAGTGTGGTGTTACTGATGTCTCTAACATTTTTAAGGTAGAAATTTCTATTACAAGACTAAGGTTACCTCCTATATGTAGTACAATCACCCTAAATTGCTCAGTAATATTAATGCTAAGACAGGAACTACAGGTGACATAGGCATGCCTTTGTTTTCCCATTGCTATTTCTCCTTAAAGCGATGCCCCCTTTTTAGTCACTGAACATGAAGGCCAGTTAAAATGTCCTTATTGTTTGTAATAACTTTTAGAAAAATTCGTATGTTGTTTACTAGCAGCAGGCTTTCCACACAGGAAGTAGGATAAGGCATCCTTGGGGCCTATTGTCTTCAGAGCATTATATCATATCCCATCGCCTCCGCAAGTCAGTTCCTCCTCCTCTGCCTGTGCTTCCTCCATTTTTTAAAAATCATTTGGCTACACGGAGCTGCCTCATGTCATTCTTTGCATACATCATCTCTGTTTTTTCTCTTTTGCTGCACAATGGCCCAGCTTTTCAGCTGTCCCAAGTGCGATCCTTTACTAAAATGGGGATTGAATGAAGGTGGAGCACAAATTATCTGGAAGCAAAGGAAAACCAGGCCTTTGAAAAGGACCCAGAAAGGCACGAGTAATGAACCAGAGTGGCCTCGATGAATTGCTGGAGAGGGAATTCTCAGTTTTGACGCACAAGGAGCACACACATGGAGACCAAGGAAAACCTAGCGAGAGAAGCTCAGTGTGACGCCTGCCTCGTGGGTTGGTCAGGATAGAGGGTTAAAGCCAGTAGCCCTCCAGACAGGAGCAGAAACAAATGTATTTTATGAGTAACAGTAAAGCATTCAAACACACCGTGTTGGAGCACAAGGTACTTTGAGGAGTTGACATCCCTTCATAATTCATGTTCATTGTTCCTCTAAGTAAAATATGTGTCTCCCTGTAGTTATTCTGTTAGGAACTGTACTTTCAAGGCAAGAGGACATTTTTGATAATGCACATCTTAAACTTTTCATTAAACTACCAAATTTAAATTCTACCTTTTTGTGCACTCTGACATTTTTGTCTGGCATTTTCATTAATTTTGCGACATACATAAATGTAGCTGAAATGTTAACTGATCAATACTGTGTCTCTCTCATGTAGCACTAGCACTCCGCTCCCTAAGGACCACACAGCAGAACAGAAATTAAATGTGTAAAATATCAAATGTTAATGTTAAACACAGCGGCACTTACTGTATAATGACAGAAAAGGCTAAAACAATTCCAAATGGACAGATGGCACCACAAATTATCTACAATCACATTTAAGGATTAAAGTTTGTCCTGTAAAATAATTCTTTGACGCACAGTGAAGTGTGTCCTTTTACTGATAGCTCAGTTGTCCAATTATTTTTGTGCTCATTACAGTGAGAAATGACAGTACTGGAAAGAGAGAATGCGCACTCTTTTTTTCACCCTATGTTGCACCCACTGACATCCATAAGAACACAAATGTCTGGTCAAGAGCCTGATGAAAATCAGGCCCAGTGTATGAGACATTTCCACGTCTGCAGTAGATGTTTCCAAAAGACAAGCCGGGCCTTCTGCGCCACATCCGTCTGTGTTCGCTCTCAGGCATACAATATTCATAGTGAAATTTAAAAACCTAATTCACAGCACAAAAACAAGGACAGCCCCAGGAACGTGTTTGCTTATATTTTCCCCATCACCTTCTAGGCCGATTTCAGCTCCTAGTATCAGCAGCTGGCTCTGAAGCTTCCCCACAGCATATAGGCACAGGGCTAAAGAGGCCAGGGCAGCTCTAACCCCGCGCTTCTCACCCTCTGCACTTCACTTGACGTTAGGACAAAAAGTTATCGTTTTTCCATTTTGATTTCATTATTCTACTTTTATTTTGGGTAGTAAATTAGAAAAGAAGAATAAAACAGAGTAGAAAAAGGGCACTTAAACGTTATAAAGTTTACTGATCTGGGCCTAAAACCAAGCCACATAATGGTACAAATGCACATGCTCCACGAGGCAGCTGCATTTATGAAAAAGTGGGCCAAGTGGAACCAATATTATAATAATAGACTCATGATCCAGCCACAGGGAATGATGGGAACAATATGCTTGTAACAATGGGGTGCTGCTCACACTCTTCTCCTAATGGAAAGCAGTTCTTTTCAATAAACTGTGCTAAAAAGGCTCTGGTTATGCAATGATATCCTTGAAACATTTCATTTTTAAGTACTCACATCATTAAATATCTATAAGGTAAATAAAATCCTACAAAAGTTTTTTTTTGAATTGTTGTAACACTAAGATTACACGGTACATTTTAAAAATTTCTTTTAGAAAGAAAATAATATCTGCTGTGTGAATTTGACCAATATATTTAACCTTTCTGTGCCTCTGTTTTTTCTTCTGTCTATTGGAAAATAATAGTATCTAACTCATAATAAGGAAATATTAAATGGATTAATGCATAACAAGCACTTTCATGTATTAGTGCTTGAAAAACAGTTCCCTGGCACACAAATGCTTAATAAACATTAGTTGTTACTATTATATAAGAATCTTTTTGCATCAGAATTAAATCTGAGGTTAAAATAGATGATTGATAGATTGTAAAATAGTTTAGAATATAAAATGGAAGGTCTAGGAAAATTGCTACAGCACCATGAAGCTATGTCTTTCCTCATTTAATAAGTAGCTTTATTAGAGCAAACCCTTATTTATCTGGCATCACTGAATAAAGAGTTTCTCCACATAAGAAACATTTTCATACTGGTTCATTGGTTGGTCGATTGATTTAGACAGCCATTTATAATAGGAGCCTACTAAATGCGAGATACTCCATAGGTGATGGTGGAGTACAGGTGAAACAGGCAGGGTGCCCATTTTCATGGAACTCTCAGTTCAGATCTTGATAAGTGAAGTTGGGTTTCGTTATTTGTTGTTTTCATCACATTCAACAGAATGTAATTCAGCGCTTTTTATTTCCTTAAAATGAAACAGTTAATATTATCGTTTCTTTTCAAAGGTACTCTTACTGTGTGTTCTCATATTAGTTTGGCCTGTTTTTCATCATCGTCAGCAGTCCCTTTTCCTACCTTTACTGTGGAGAATGTAATTCAGCGCTTTACATTCTGCGCTTTACATTCAGCGCTTTTTATTTTCTTAAAATGAAACAGTTAATATTATCGTTTCTTCTCAAAAGTACTCTTACTGTGTGTTCTCATATTGGCCTTTTTTCCATCATCGTCAGCAGTCCCTTTTCCTACCTTTACTGTGCCCTCCCTCCCTTTTTTGCAAGCATCTTGCACTCAGCTTGCTTCACAAGCTGACCACCAGCTAAAAGAGATATTACATTTCTTATGCAGGGAACTTTGACCCTCCTACAGTGAAATCATTCAAGTATTATCATGTACATATACCTAAGTTTCTCAGAATTTTGGTGTCTGATTTTTTTTAATCAGAAACAAGTTTTGAACAAAGTCTGCCATCTTGAATTCACTGCACATGAGTGACATCTAGAAGCCAGATGAATTTTTCTGATGACTTACAAAACACATTGTAAAGCTAAAGTGTTAAAAAGGAATGTTCCTCAACAAATTACATAATTACATAGATTTCTCTATTTTCCAATTTTGTAAACAGCTATGAGGGAATGACTTTGGAAGGAGCGAATCACAGATAGCAGCATAATATTTTGTTAGAATATTGTGTCTTTGATAAGGTGCCATGGAACTTGCACGTAATAGCATAAAATATACAAAGAAATTCAATGTCATTTTTCCTCATTTATGTCAAAGTGCCTCTATGATAGTGAAAAATCACAATTAAGTTTGCTTAACAGTAACCCCCCCCCATGTACTTTATATGTGAAAGAACTAAATAAAAGAATATTGAAAGAGCAGTTTCCTTTCTAAAACTTTTACGATGATGACAATCTCTTTCTTTAGAAGACAACAACATGTCTATGGGAAGCAGGCTGCCTAACTTTCTGGTAACTTACAACATAAAGGGACATACACACTCTTTGTTCCATGTGCTCAGACATTAATGAAAGTCCCATACAAGGCCTGAAAGGAGGACAGAGCTCAAAGTACTAAACAGATGTGCACACACTCATTTGAATGGTAATACTAAAATGTTGATTTGTTACTATAATGAAGGCTCTTCATGTAAACCCCATAATAAAGTCATATTCTGCTAAACTGGCAACTATAAGGAAGCATACGGTCTTCATATTCTAACAAATATGACAATAAAATAAAGGATTTCAAAAGAAAAACTTCACTTAAACTTCAAACTGAAATCCTGAACAAGCAAAAATAATATGAAAGCAGAAAATTCCCGCTAAAGCGCAGAGGAAAGGATTCTTTTGGATTTTCTAGCTTTGCAAGTTGGTCTCCTCAGCAGTTTTTAAATAACCAAAGTAAAAGGCTACAAGATGAACATTGTTAGAGGACTATTTGGCTCTATCAAATTCTCACTGGTGCCTTTTTGAAGACTGGAAATCTCAGAAATAATAAAATGCCGCTTACATAGGTCACATCCACTTCCAATTGATCCACATATTAAAGTATCACCAGCTAGCATTCTACTGTCAATCATTTCATATTTTGAAAAAATAATATCTATAGAATGAATACAATTAAAATGAGCATGGCCAAAATTATATTAATTTTTTTAACACCAAGGACTTTTCTTGGCTCTGCTATTAGGATTTTGGATTATGCAATATATAAAATTTTACTTTTTAGCTGTCGTGGAGAAAATTATACATTGGCAGTGGAGATGTCTTGTGTTCCGGAAGTCTGCGGGGGGAGGGGGGTATTCTTGGACTCAGACCTTGAACAATCCATCAGGTTCTGCCCACGGCAAATCTGTCCAGTCAAGTCTTAAAATAGGAGTTTTAAAATGGCCACATCAACATAGCTGTTACTATAGCCACAGAAACATGCAGCTATGATTACTGAATTTAATGAATAACAATGTAAGTAATACAGTATGATCATACCACAAAAGCAGCAAGGCTCCTTGGGGGTGAGTCCCAATCAAAGCAACTATTAACGTAGTATGCAGCATTTATAAGCACCATGACACAGCGCTTCGTTCTGATAAAGTTTCTTAGTAGCAGCTGTAATGAAGATGAGATATTATTAGAAATTACAGGACTAAAAACCATCAGATATATTGCAAAGTCTTCAAGCTTACTGTGATTTTCAAAGGATTCAGAAAGTTAATAAAGTTATAAGAATATACCAAGCAGTTTGGCTCATGAGTTAAAGGGAAAAAAGTATCTCTGGAGGAAGTGGGAGAGACTGAATTATAAGAGCAATTTCTTAGCTAAATATATTTCTTTAAATAATATTATCAGGTAGGATGGACTACCTTTGTTCAAAAGAAAAAAAAATCTCCAAAGGATTCAAAACATTTTTTGCTACTTACTGCAAACCTTAAATATATTGTTCAGCTCTTAAATCTTGTTGAGATCTAAAGATTCTTTAAGTGCTTTAATTTCAGGCTATTTCAAAGTGAAATGGATAACTTGGAATTTTTTATTTAGGGTCTTAGAGAAAAATCCTGCCAAATATTGCTTTATTATAGAAAACACTTCCCCCCCCTACCATTTTAGTAGGATTCTCCCTTTCTTACTATCATATTCTCATTTTTCTCTCTTTCCCTCCCTCTCTCCTATCTCTATCTTTCTCTTTTCTACAATATATTTAACCTATATTTTCGTATAATTTTGGAGTTAGGGAAAATTTTATGGCAACCAAGTGCTTTACAAAATCTTTTACTAAAAAAGATATATAAGAATTGACATAATTAAAATTTTAAATTAAGGCATGACTATAATTATAAAAAGAACAGCCCATATACTAGATGTTGTTCAAAAATTTATCTACAGCTATGTTAATAATTAGAATAATATGTATGCAGGTTAATATTTTGTTACTTCCAAATATACTTCAATGCTGATCTGGTATTTCAAAGTAGCAATGTAAAGTTTACTGAGGCCATCTGGAAAAATATATATGTGTAAATATAGATGCAAGTACATGCATACCAGCTTTAATAAGTTATTCAAATTCAAATTCCTTTCAGTCAAATTTAAGAGTCTCCCTACTTGTTTTCCTTCTGGGCCCCTGATCACTTACTTTAAGAGCTACTTTTATAAATTTTATCTATAATTATGGAAAAATATAATCTGTATTTCTATTTAGACAGATATTGAATTTGTCTCATATATTGTCTTTAAACAACCTGAAATCCCACTGTTTATGGTGACTGATTTGATTAAAAATAAAATTTTTTTAGTCTTCTAATAGCACAAGAAATTATTAAATATTTTAACACACACAAATAAGTTCTGCAAACTTTATAGACATATCAAATTCATTTTATTTTAGCTGTGTTAGTTAAAAGTAAACATTTTTGAAGGGGTTGCTTAGTACTCTTTCTTAAATTGATTCAAACCTGATTTAAAACTATAAGTCTAATTACAAGCTATTAAGCCTAATTTAAAATTTCTTCATGACAGAAAAATCAGAGTCCCTGATTTTCTATTTTCTTAGCTGAAAATGTCAATAAAAGTTCACTTCAAAAAGATCATAGTCAAAATCTAATTAAGAAGGTTTCCCTTAAAAGATGGAGCCCCCTCTCCTGTGGATTAGAGGGAAGAGCTTTATGCTGGGCTCGCTTTACACACACCTGCGTCGTACCTGTGGGTGGTCTGGACATATATTTGAACCTTAGCTTTTGGTGTTCTCATTTACACATTCCATGGCAATCAAATTGTATTTTATGTTCAAAATGATCATTCTTTTGCTAATGCATGAATACATATCCATTCTATGCAGTGTCTACAGTATCCCCTTTCCTTTTTGACCACCCCCATCCCACTTATTAGTTTGGTATTGCCCTTGTTTGATCATTTAAGGAAAGGAAGGGAAGAGAGAAAAAGAAGGAAAAAAAAAAGAAAGTCATTTCACATAAGTAGATGTTAAAAAATTGTATAGCCTTCCCCACCTCCATACCTCCAAAGTTTATTTGAATTTAGTTAGATGTTTTACAGATTAATCAGGTCTTCCCAGAGGGATTAATCTTTCCTTGCTTTTTACCTGTTTAGAGAGTCTGTTTTCCTCTTCAATGTACTTCTGTTCTTTGGGTATTAATGTTCGTAAGCTGGCTTTCACCTATACATCAACATAATGTGTCTGTTATGGATTAATATAGTACAAATGTTTACAAGTTTTTCATGCAGTTCAATTTGCAATAGTTTCTAAAGTTTCAAAGGCCTGGCTGCTGTGCTCATAAAATATAAATGTATACAGTGGCACATGCATGCACATTGCTTACGCAGGCAGGCAGCGGCCCCAGTTCAGCCGTAGCAGCAGCCGCCAACATAACAGAAAGTGTGGGTGTGCCAGGCAGTGGCAGAAGCGTATTCTCCAGGATACATCAAGGTTTAGAGAAAATGAGGAATGACAGAAATTCTCTACAAATCAGGAACAAAAGCTTTCATGAAACTGAACTCTTTAGCAGTACAAAAAAGCCAAAGTTAAGACTTACAGCATTAAAAATCACATCTATTTCAAGATAGATGACCCCCTTTGTTGGCCCTGTCAGCTGCTTGTTTTTCAAGACGTAGGCTTTCTGTTCACCATTTTGAATCTGCGGGAAAAGGACATGACAGCCGTCTGTCTCACGGTCTCCACTGAATACACTCCCTCGGTGACCTTTGACCCCCAGCTGCTGAAACTGACAGAGAACCCAAAACAACTGTGGCAATTCTGACAAGTACCTGTTCATTACCAGGATCAAGTCTGTCAGGAAAAATTAACTATCATGGGATTCAACATGGCCGTGAATTGAGTATGTTAAAATTTTTAGTGTTCTTATTACAGACCTTGGTTGAGAAATGACAGATATAGAGCTGACGGGTTTTTTTTTCTCCTTGAGCAAAAGCAACACAGAGCAGTGTGTCAGGTGCATAAAACTTACAGACAGCAATGGTATAGCAACTTTGCCCAGAAAGTCAGCACTTCGATCCCGATCTTCATCATAAACTGTCACTTCAAGAACTGAATGGATATCTTTAATGTTGCTGCATAATAAACATACATAAGGAAAAAAAGACTTCATCAGTGGAGAACAAGAATAAAAATGCTTTTGAAAATTTAGATAGCTCCAGCTGATTCTGTGTGTATATGTTTTTATGTATGTTATTTGCATACACACATACACAAGGTAGTTTGGTATGTGATAGAATTTCCCACAATGCACCTTAGTAGACTACAATGATGGTTCTATTATCTGGAATTTTGAGCACCAACAAAATTTCAAGTTATAATTCTTTAATGAAATATAATTTTCCACCTGGATGGCCACAGAATAGATTATTATAAAGACAACAACAAACCACCAATATGTGGCACTGATATTTTTTAGACTTTTATTTCTTCTCATTATTGCAATAATTTCTATCTTCCTATTACCCTACATAAAACACCATCAGGTTTGATATTAGCAAGAGTCACAGTATAGTTAATATAATTTTGTGTGTTTTTTAAAATTATAATAGGACATCTTTTTGTTTACAGCTCTCATGAAAACATTGAGTTATTTCTGTTGGGTTTATAGTAAAAATTAACTAACACAGAAAACAGAATGGAGAAAATGTAGCATTGATAGCCACTGTACCACCCTAGGATTTAGAAATTAAGTAGTGTCCCATTATGTTCCAAAGACAACATTTGTTAATAAACAACTGTGCAAGCTCTTCATATTTTTGTTTCTGGAAAAATAAGCCCCAATTGTTGACAGCATTTATTCTCTGATCAAACTGTTTACCAAGAAAACATGCATTAAGAGAAGACAAAAATGAATATATTCATTACTGAAAGACTGCAACCACATGTGAGAAAAGGCTTTATCGGGGCACAATCAATTAATGGCTTTGATAATAATCAAACCTATTCATTCAATTATGCATTCCAGAGAAAAACACTCTCCACAGCCTTCTAAGAAGTACAAGTCTCCTGACCAGGGCTTTCATCTTTTATAAAAATGAGGAATTCCTTAAAGATAAATTGGTCAGATAATTAAATTTGATTAGTTACTGGTTCTTAAGCAGAGACATTATAAGACATTAGTAAGGAATTTAGCAATTTTTCAAATACAAAAAAAACCCCCCAAAAACACAAAACACCCTATGCTAGAAAACTTTTAAGAAGCACTTCTTTTGGAGTTTTCCTTTGTTCAGTTTAAAAGCCCAGTTTAGGAACAACAACAACAACAACAGTGATTTTAGGGGATACTATAGTGTAGCATTGGCAGCCTTTACAGTACATAATCAAAATGGCTTATAAACTTTTTGAAACAAAAGGAAAATTAACTCATAGGGTGTTTTGGTTCCTAGACCAATACTTAATATTCTTATTGTGTTAAAATGCAACAAGCCAAAACTAAAGCATCTGCCGAATTGGAGACGGGATTGTTTGCTGATTTGAGCAATGGAACAAATAGAGCTTTGTCCTCCTTGGTGTCAGTGCAATCCAGGAGAATTTCAATAGAAAGTATAAAAGGAAGAAGCAGTATGGCAGTTCAGTTAAAGGGAGCAAAATCCTTAGTCAAATCATATAGAAAGCACAGCTTAAAAAAAATGTCTGTGAAAACAAAAGAAAAATGGCAAACCCTTTCCCCAGGTTTCACTATCAGGACAGTGATGCAATTATGATATTCATTGTTGCTAGCAAAGGCAGCCCAGATGCATTGAGCTGTTAATCGGTTAAGAATAAATGTACACACAAAATCTCAAAAATAAATATCATTTGGCACCATTTTTTAAATAAGCTCAAAGTAATTACTACTTACAATGTGAAGACTTTGTTCCACTCAGGATTGAGATTTTTGTAGACAGTATGTGTTAGAAGCCTATCATTGTTCAGTTCTACTACACAAAATGGGTCACTTTTACCTACAAGAGATTTGGGGAGAACATTTTTAGTATAAATAGCACCCACAGCTCAGAGTGTCACAATTATGACTGCATCTCTTTTAAACAATTTTATAGAACACAAAAAGTGAGGTACAATTTTTTAAAAAATTAAAACAACATCAAAATACAGTTAGCTGTAACTGGATGATGTTAACCATTGTGACTCAATGAAATTTAGAACCAGAAAAAAAAGGCAAAAGAAAGCAAATTATATAACTGATAGTATTTCAATTTATAATTTTTTACAAAAATAATAATATAATGGCTAATTATGATGCATGCCCATCCCCATGTCAGTTTTTATTTAATTCTATAGTGACCACTTGAAAGGTTCAGGCCCTCTCTTTTTATCCCATATATTTTTCAACTTATCTGACTAACTTGTAACTTGTAACAGACTTTCTAAATAAGTTGATTTTGGAAAAACTGTTATATTTCAGAATTATAGCTTTTTAATCTAATTTAAGATTCTCTTCTAAAATATCTAAGGCATCACAAGAAGATAAATTAGACCCCTCTGAGGCAGAAAAAAAATTGGTTATTTAAAACTTAACCTTAACAACCAATCCACATTGTAAAGAGCAGTATTTTTATTTCTTTTGTCCACTGGAGTAAAGAATTTGGAAGTTATCTGTTTACAGCAAGTCTGTTTTTCCATACTCAAATATCGTCCATTCAGCAATTATATTATGTGATGTCCTCAATATTTTGTAATGTCACGAGCTGTATTATAAGAACTCATAAAGTCAGAGGCTCTATGGGGGCAGCATTAATGATATTACTGCAGCATGTAATTTGTTTGATACCTTATACAAATGACAATGAAATCAATATTTGGACAAAGCTGTTCAGAGGTCATATTTTTTAAACTACAATATTGATTTAGACTACATAAGAGGTTAATGTGAATATTATTAACTTTAATGATAAAGAATAATTGTTTTAAATGAATTGTGAATTGTAGTCACAGTAGTTTACACTTCTGCGAAAGCTTAAATATCAGTGAAGATTTTCAATTAAATTTTAATAGGAAAGAATTCATTAGCTATCAGTGACAGATAAGCTATATATTCCCACATAGCAAGGTATTTACTTTCCATGTTATAATTCTTAAAATGAGCCATACAAACTTTGACTCACCTTTAATTTAATTTTACATTAAAAAAGAGATTTAGTATATGTGTGTTAGTTCAGTGGCCTCACATACCCCAGGATAACTGCATAATTTAACATTATAGTAGTCTTCTCAATTTTTGGTCTTGTGAATAATTTTCAATAAAGACTAGACGACTGAAGGTCTCCAAGGTCTGGTGTGAATTTTACCTGTGGTTTAGGATGTTATCTTTTTCCCCCACCTTCATTCCTTTTGCCCTACCTGCAACCATAGTCACACACCATGGAAAATTGTATTAAAAAGAATATTTTATTCATTAAAACACATTGTAATAAGTTTTATTTGGCACATGAACAACTTTATTTTCTCCCATATACTTCATGTACAAGCATAAAAATTGCATTCAAACAGTTCTCAAAGCCTTACTTATTCTTAAGGGTCATATGAGGTATCATCTTTCCACCTAGCTTTGTGAGTACTGACTATAGTATAAACAAAAGAGCAGAGAATATAAACTACAACCTCAAATAGTTTATAAAAGTGTTGGAAGGTTAAAACATACCTACTATAACAATGAGAGAGAAAATTAAAGCCATGTTTATGATAGAATTCCTTGTCAAAAGAGAAACTACTTCACTTTAGACAAGACTTTAATTAAATAATTAGCTTTGGAAGCATATACTTAAAAGACAAGTGTAACTCATACTCTTTCTTGGATCTCCTTTGATTTTTTCTCATACATTAATGTTAATCTTAATTCAGTAAAAAAGTTATATAAAGATAGCAATTTGGGGTATTTTTGTTCCCCCATTTTCACTTGTTTTACTTCAATTACTCTTCTGGCTCATTTCACTCGGTATTACTTGCCCTCAAGTGAAAAGCAATATGCAATAGATTCAATCAAAACTGCACCACCTCTCCAGTAGCAAAACACAAGAACTAACTCCACAGACCAATATCTATGGAGAAAAATGTACTTTAAACATATACAAATAGAGGTTGAAAATATTCATTTGATTTTTTCACAGGAATTATATTCAGTTGTATACAGAGTTTTCAATTGTTTTAATTTACCCTATGGAAATTCTTGTAAATCACTACCTTCTTTGTTACAGTATCTTTATTTGGTGACAAAAAGAGATCTGGAGTTAGTGATTGGCTAAAAGATCTTAAAGAAACTAAATATGTTCTTAATGTTTAACACTTCCCACATCTTGTTAAGAAACAAATATATTTATCAAACCCTATGCCCACAAGGCAGTGGCTATTCACATTTTCTTAGTTGATTATTTCTCAAAACTATTCCTAGGGAAAACCAATATTAGTCATCTATCATCACATTACTTAACTCTCTCATTCACTCTTTTCTATTGGAATAAAGGTCTTAAAGTAAGAGAGCCAAAAATAATTTGAGCACCTATTGATGCACTTCTCAGTCATTTTGCTATTCTAATTCCCAGTGGCATGCTATCATTATCAAAAATATTGTCCTATCTGCATTTATCTTATAACTTGAAATGGGTAAGCAATACAATTTTTAAGAGGCCATGTCATTATACACTGTGGAATATAATGGTACTTACATCTTTTATTAAAAAATATATTTTATTGATTTTTTACAGAGAGGAAGGGAGAGGGATAGAGAGCTAGAAACATCAATGAGAGAGAAACATCGATCAGCTGCCTCCTGCACACTTCCTACTGGGTATGTGCCCGCAACCAAGGTACATGCCCTTGACCGGAATCAAATCTGGGACCCTTGAGTCCGCAGGCCAATGCTCTATCCACTGAGCCAAACTGATTAGGGCAGTACCTACATCTTTTTAAGAGAGTCTTTGCCTAAGATAGACCAAATTCCTATTTAAAATGGCTTTAATTTACACAGATTTTTCTCAATCTAAAATCCATCATTCTTAAGGTGCTTACAGTTTTATGAAAGACTGAACTCTGGTCATTGACATGAACAATCCTGGAAAGTTCTGCCATTTTACTCTTCTCTGAAACTTTATTTTCAAGTTTAATACCTTTGATGTCTTTCCAGAGCTTACAGGTTAAAATCCACATTGTATGGCATGGGAGATAGCCTTTCAGTCTTACTTTCAATCTCAAGATCTTTACAGCCCCTCACTTGAGCTACACCACACCTTTCAAAATCTCAATCACTCCATGTTCTTCCAAGAGCACCGGGCAAGAAACTGAAGTTCAAAGTGGGAGGCCAGTGGTCTGGGGGGAAAGGCCTAAATTTCAGAGGCTGAACAAACTGGGAATGAACACTAACTCCATGATCCTGGGTCTTTCCTTTATGGAAAAAGTAGTGACAATAATGGCTCTTTACAGAGATAATAGAATATAACTAGCAGAATGTCTGGCACATTATCAGGGCATCAATAAATAAGAGCTTTAAGTAATGTCTTTTGAAGCAGAAATATTTAAAACACAAAAATGTGCCTTAAAGTACAAAAAAATAATAGGGAATAATTCATATTTTGAGTTAAATCTCCTACTCAAAAGATTAAACATTTGTAAAATATTTTACAAAAAATAGCAAATAAAGAGCAGTTGTAATGCTTATCTACACTAATAAAAGAGAAACATGGTAATTAGCGTACGACTGCTACCCTTCCCATTGGCTAATCAGCATATCCTTATGCAAATTAACTGTCAGCCAAGATGGCGGCCGGCAGCCATGCACTGAAGAGCGAACATGAGGCTTGCT